CCGTCCACACCTTTGGGGACCCCTGGACCTGCTGGGGTTGGACCCCAGCAATGTCATTACAGTTCCAATACAGAAGAAGCAGAAGAATGTCAAAGTAAACACTTTGGCAAATTACAAGGCACTTTTCAGAAATAATAGCATGCAAACTACTACTGACGACACTAATACTGTTTAATTAAAAATTTTAAAAACTGAATATGCAGAGCAGTTCTAACAATTTACCTATTGCAACAACAGTTTCAATTACTAACCACAAATATATAAACAGAGGAATGAGAAATTCTGACAACATTTAGATATAACTCAGTGGTATGTATACATGATGTATGCGAGATGAACTCCGAACACCTGCAGCTTACCTTCTTCTGAAGAACATTAACCTTCCGCTCCTTCACATCCAGCATGTCCTTGAGGTCATGTATCTCTCCAGCTTGTGTTCCTTTCTCCTCAGCCATATCCTGAATTTGTTTTGTCTTCTTATTCAGCATGGTTTCCTTCTCTTCCAAACGCAATCGGAGAGCATCCACCTAAGAATGTATCACTTTTCATTAGAATCAAATAAAATACCACTCTAAATATAATTATTATACTTAGAAATTAATCCTGAAATTTTGTGAGCACTTTCATAAGAAAAAGAAAATTTACATCAGTTAAATTACCATCAGATAATAGCAGGGTAAATGGATCTGAATCAAGGAGACAAAATGGAGAATTGTTATAAAGAGGTTCAGTATTGCTACTTCTATAAAAGTAGCATAATCCAGAACTATGTTTATCAAACTTTATGTGCATTACAATCACTTGGAGGGTTTAAACAGATTGCCAATCCTAGCCATCAGAGTTTCTGATTCAGTAGGGTTGAGGTACAAGAATTAGTATTTCTAAGTTCCCAAGTGATGCTACACTGCTTTAGAAAATCTAATATTAGAAAAGCACCACAAGCATCACCAAGCATGCCACTTGCTGAGTCAGATAATAAAATCTAAGTATTAGACACAATGCTTTTAGGACAAGCCCATAATGCACTTAGAAAGCTGTACAACACACAGCAAAAGTCTACTTTCAGACCCTAAGATAGTCTACTGAAGTCTGGTATCCGATTCCTTTTGTCCCTGAAGTTTAAAAACTTTTGTTAAATACAATTGTAAAATTACTGGAAAGCTAATGATAGTACTTATTTTTAAATCTACCCATAGCAAATTTCATTAAGCATACTCATACACTACATTTTTTTATTTTTTGCTTTTCCACTAAGGATTTATAATTCAGCAAATAGTTACATATGTATTTGATTATAGTTAAAAAGGGAGGTATATTTCTTTCTTATTAAGACAGTGCTGTTGAACAGGAATATAAATCATATATGAAAGCTACATATGAAATTTTTAATTTTCTAACAGCTACATTAAAAAGGAAAATGGGAACAGGCAAAGTTAATTTTAATAACATACTTTATTTAATCTAATATATCTATAATGTTATTTCAAACATGTAATCCATATAAAAAAAACTTACAAGCTATTTTACATTCTTTGTTTCATGCTAAATCTTCAAAGTCCAATGCATATTGTAATTTACATTTATATCACATCTCAGTTTGGACTAGCCATATTTCGAGTGATCAATAAACACATGTGACTGGTGACTACCACACTGACTGCAAATCTAAGATATCAAGTATGTTTCTATAAAACACCTTTAATCTTGAACTAGTCCTATATTATTTTTTGTATCTGAGTATGGATTAACCCACAAAGACAAAACAAATAATATGGGTAATAACTTACATTTACAGTACAGCAAAACTCTCAGGAAAGATCTAATATTATAACTAAACTATAAGATATCTGAGAACCAATACTGTGAATATGGTGGTACTGACTGCTCAGTATTACAGAAAATTTCCACCTGGCCAGTGTGACTGGATGGTTGAGCATCAACCTATGAACCAGGAGTTACTTATTGGTTTGATTTCTGGTCAGGGCACATGCCAGGGTTGTAAACTCAATCTCCAATAGGGGTCATGCAGGAGGTACCTGATCAATGATTCCCTCTCATTCTTGATGTTTCTACTTCTCTCTCCCTGTCCCTTCCTCTCTGAAATCAACAAAAATATATTTTTAAAATATTTTTAAAAGATAATTTCCTAGGTGACTAGTCTCATTTGAGAGTGCTATAGTTAAGTCATTATGTACTTACAAATTATATCAAACTATACTGGAAAGGAAAGTATGTAAATTAACCAGCTTTCACTCTGCTAAACTATATTTCTCCCAACCACTTAAATGTCACCAAGCCAGAAATTGGGGAAGCAATCATTTTATGTCCCACTTATAATCCTTCACAAGCTCTACTGACAAACACTCCTTTACCTCCAATTTTCTTTTATTCTGCTTTAATAAATAATATATAGTTAACCAGATTATATTCTGGGAAGGTCCACCTAAGAACTTTCATACTGTAAAAATCCTACTTCTAAAACAATTCCTTTCTTTCTTCTATGCCTACTAAATCTACCCTTTGTCCACAAGGTAACCTCTATTCTATCATACCTATTTTTTTTTTTTAGATGATGGCTGCTTTTACTAAATGACTGAACCATGGAATTGCCAAGGCCACTATGTACAGGTAAGAGAGGTGAAGCTTTATTTCTTGGTCTCTTCCTCCTTGGACAGAGTCTTGATGATCTCCTCCTTCTTGGCCTGGAGCCGCTCTTCACGACGCTTGCGGGCTTCCTTGGTCTTAGACCTGCGGGCCTCGGCCTGGTCAGCCAGAAGCTTCTTGCCAGCCTTGTCTGCCTTCAGCTTGTGGATGTGTTCCATGAGAATCCGCTTGTTTTTGAACACGTTACCCTTCACTTTCAGGTATAGGCTGTGGTACATGTGGCGGTCGATCTTCTTAGATTCACAGTATCTTCTGAGTAGCCGGCGAAGAATCCTCATCCTCCTCATCCAGGTCACTTTCTCAGGCATTCAAGCATTGGCTGTACCCTTTCGCTTACCTATGCCCATATGCCTGCCCTTCCTGCGGGCCAATGTGTTTTTCTGGCATTGAGCCCAGGAATGGACAGTCACAGGCTTCCGGATGATCAGCCCATCTTTGATCAGCTTCCGAATCTGCTGCCGGGAGTTGGCGTTGGCGATTTCATTGGTCTCATTGGGGTCCAACCAGACCCTCTGTTTGCCACAGCAGAGGACACTGGAGGCAAGCCTCTTCTGAAGCCTGAGCATGCTCATGGCTGCAGCCGCAGTGGCCCATACCTATTTTGTTGTTGTTGTTGTTGTTATTCATCTCTATTCTGGTCTCACTTGTTTTACTTGAGCAATCCATTCAAACAATCTCACATCATAACCTTTCTTTTTTAGTCATATTTATTTTACAAATATTTACTCCTATATTAAACCATTTTCTTCATTCTATCCTCTGACTTCTGAACCTGCCTACGTATGGTCAAGCATAGGCTTACCAACCATATCATATATACAGTACTAGAGGCCCGGTGCACAAAATTTGTGCACAGGGAGGGTCCATAGGCCTGGCCAGCGATGAGGGCTGATTGGGGCCTTCCAGCTGCTGGCCGGGGTCTTCCTTCATTCTGCACCACCGCCTGGTGGTCAGCGCACATCACAGCGAGCGATTGAACTCCCAGTCTGCCATTGGACACCCAAGGGGACACTGTGCATACTAGCCTTTTATATATATAGCTAAGCACTACGTTAAGCACTGGTTCTCCAACATCACTGAGGGGTCCCAGATTGCGAGGGGGCACAGGCCACGCCGAGGGACCCCACCGGTGCACGACCGGGGCCGGGGAGGGACACGGGAGGTTGGCCAGCCTGCGAGGGACTGTGAGAGGGCTCCAGGGCATGTCCAGCCCATCTCGCTCAGTCCTGATCAGCCGGACCCCAGCAGGAAGCTAACCTAACTGTCGGAGCATCTGCCCCTGGTCAGCGCACATCATAGTGACTGGTTGACTGTCTGCCCCCTGGTGTCCAGTGCATGTCATAGCAAGCAGTTGAGCAGCCTTAGCATATCATTAGCATATTACACTTTGATTGGTTGAACAGCCAACTGATCGACCAGACACTTAACATATTAGGCTCTTATTACATAGGACTAGAGGCCCGGTGCACAAAATGTGTGCACTTAGGGGGGAAGGGGGTCCCTAAGACCGGCCTGTGCCCTCTCGCAG